TATGACTTGACTTTTAAAACCTCTAACTTATATAATGATTTGTCAACTTGAATGCCAGCTGTGCTTTAAAAAAGTAAATAAATAATAACATCCATCTGATTAAATCAATATCCAATGTTAAGCCTTTCAAATGATTCAAAGATATTTAGAAGTATATAAAATATGTAAATGAGAATTTGTGTTTGGGTGTATATAGAATAAGGGATTATTTGACAGTAGTGTTACACACACACACACACACACACACACACAAAATGCATCTTATCAAGAGTGATTTGTCAAAAGCAGCTGTAACCAAATCTTCTGAAATGGAAGTTAGAAAGCACTAACTTAATTTTTTCATTTGTTTTTTTGAACAATTAAACCACCCACAAAAGGGTAACTTTGCAAGTCCTCATTATCTCATGAATTTTGGAACTTATTCTTTAAATAATCATTCTCATTTCCATATAATTATAGCAACTAAGAAGGTCCTTTAAAAATTTAGCCTGAAATGTAAGGGTGCTCTAAAGAATCCGTACTCTCAGCAAATTGATCAAACTTGGAATTTGCTTCTTTAAAATCAGAACATGAATTTATAGCAGAACTGTCTTTAGGGAAAAATCCATTTTGTATTTGATGTTCTCTTAAATTGTAGGTTTCTGCCTAGGATCTTATCCAACAGTTCCACACATCATGAGCTCTATCCATGTTATATAGTAAATTATTGCATACATTTCATCCAATTGTTACAAAACACAATGGCAATGACTCCAAGCTTGAAAAGGGAGGATCTGGGATGAATATAGTCCTTCCTGCATTACTCTCTCCCTATCTGCCTGAAAAAGATAGATACACCTTCAGAATATTTAGAGAAACTCTACTAAACCTAATTCCCCATAACAGATCACTCTGCACAAACTAAGTATAAGGAATTAAATGTTTCTACTGAAAACACAAGAAAGACAAAATGTTTTTCTCTGTTCCCTACTGTTTTCTGACCACTTCCTTAAATAGGACTTTGTCAGCTAACACTTTTTCTAACTTAATACTTTACAGGTGAAGCTTGATGGCCAGCCACAATCAAAAGTATAAATGCTAACTTGAAAAATGTTCTAAATATCCCAAGGGAAATGAAGGTCCTTCCTAAGAGAGTGTACAAACATGCCTATTATCAGAAGAAAGATAAATTTCTGATTTAGAATTTTCCTACTAGATTTTTCCCCTAACGGTTGTATTATAATCTTTCTCAGTCATATATTTTTTATTATGAATAACTATTTTTCTGAGTTTTTCTCAGGCATCAGAGAAAAGCAGCTGATCCACAATTAACACCAGCTGAACTTGAACAGCTCATTTACACTTCCAAATTTTGCTCGCCCTTTTCTCCGGGTTGAATTACTATACCATTAGTAGCAACATTTAGAATGTATGCTCATATTTGTCTCTCAGTATTGCTCACTTGCCTACTTGTGCCATTCCTTGGTTCAGGATTGTTCTCACAGAGCTTGCCCAGTCCCTCCTAGCTGGACACTCACTTTTGTCTCTGTCTGGTTGACTAGAGATAGAAAACATCCTGAGTTTCAGCCACACTGAATTTCCTCAGTGATATCAGCCTCCTATTTTCTGTCCAGATGGCAAAGGGTTGTGACACAGCACCTCTCTGGCCAGCCATGGACAAATTGTGAGGTTGACATGACCACTGGCAACGACTCATCACTCCCGCAGTGGAGAAATGTGTTGGAACAGATGGAAAGAGGGAGATGAATCAGACATACAGCATTTAGAGCTGAAGACGGTACACGGGTACAACCTTCTGCCAGACTTTGAAAAAGCCGGGGATGCACTCAATCAGAGAACCTTCAAACCAGCACAAGCTTTTCACCCGAACTGTAACCCAGGAGCTAAGATCTGTTCTACTGACAACCACCCACAGGCCTCTCCTTCCTTCATCTTGGGAGAAGTCTCCCCAGCTGCCTTGCTATTATTTCTGGATAAATTATTAATGACTATTCATCCTTGACACGTGTAATTTTTAACAATGTAAAATATTTATGGGGGTGGGGAGGGCCACTTTATAAGTCTTTATAATTTTTCCCTTTTTAATTTTTTTTACAATAAATCCTGCTCCGGTTGCTGACTGGGATTTTCCTGCTTCCTTTCTTCTGCATGAACCTTATTTTTAACTCTAAGTAATGAATACAAGATCGATAGAATAAGTGACAAAAGTATCCACGGTGACTGAACAGCAAACTCTTAAATCACTGTGCAGAAAGTGCAAATGAACAATTATTGAAAACACGGCACTGAAATTTCAATAGGAGATAAGAGTGAGGCTTAAGTCATTAAAAGGGTCCATTAGTCTTGGAAGTCTGAGACAGCACGCTCAAAACATGAGCTATTCTTGAGGACTGGAAATATTAGAGAGTCCACCAACTTGCACATATACAACTGACTCCAGCTGGGCAAGGACAGTGTCTAATTGTCCAGTCCCTATGGGGAGGAGGTACACAGAAAGGCAGAGAGAGCTGAGACAATCTCTTCAGGCGATCACTCTTCTGCTATATTTGAAGAGGGGGTGTGCAACACTGACAAATTAGATTATTTATAAGGAAAGCAAATATCCTGCTTGCATATTCATTCCCTCAGTGCTAGAACACCACTATGCTCTTCCACACTCCCTGCTGGGAATGCAAGTAAAAGACTCCTGACACCTCTACTCCATTCTCACAAATCACCAGGGAAGCTCAAGAATTCAGCCCCTCTTTCCCTTTGTCCCTGTTCTCCCTGACTTGATAAATCATCTACTGTTCAAAAACGCAGAAAGTAGTAGTGGGCAACCAAACTGCAAAGTGGAAGCATTGCTTTTGAAAAATCACCTGAAATAGCTAAAATTTTGATAACCCACATAAACATATAGATGCATAAATATATCACATAAATACATAGCGTACCATACATCCATAGGCATTGGGGCCTGCCAACAGAATGTTAGGCACCTAACATGCCAGGGTTGTACTGCTCAATTCTTCCAGTCCTCGCTCCTATACTGCACATTTTATTGCAGAAAGGTGGGCTTGAACAAGGGGTTGCAAAGCATAAGTTCAAAGTAGTGGTATTCCTAATACACATGATTTCTTTCTGGAATAGCAAACCATATCTCATTCTGGAATTATGGTAAGACTGTGCCATGCTCCTGACACAGAGGCCAACTTTAGCCTTGCCTTTGAACAAGTATAGTTCCATCAGAAGGAGGAAGTCACATTTCAATTTGTACTATTAAAAACTTGCACTACACAGTGAAACTAATTGCTCCATGAATCACTCTGCTTTATAAGACTGCTGGACTAGCATACAGTTAATAATACAAACTAGGCCAGGGGACATTTCTCCAGCAGCCACACAATAATCCAGCTCAGCATGGACAGTCTCTGACCTGTACTTTTAGACTGTATTACACTCAGGTTAGCTCTACTTTCTCACCATAGTCATGTAAAAATAAAAAAATGTTGCCAAAAACTCAAAACTCTCTGCTTCCCATTCCTCAAATATCATTAATAGATAACAAAATTTTACTCGTACCAAAAACATTTTCTCTTCACAACCAAACCATTTATCAAAACTATATTCATGATAAATATTTCAATTATTTTACCTGTCCATAAATAAGCTTGCCATCGCTGTCTCTGTCCCCAGGAAAGAGATGATATTTTACTCGGTTCTGCTTAAATTTGGATATGAAATGAGAATCGCTTCTTCCAAATCAGTTTTAGTTATTTTAAGGTTTCTTTTCTAATATGACATAAATTACAGGGAAATCAAAACTGCTGTCAAGACAACTAAAGGCGTTCAAAGGCTTTCAGCATTTGCAACTCCAGGCTCTTCCATACTTCCACAAATGTTTCAAAGGTTCAAGAAAACAAAGCCACACAGAGAAAGGAATGCCCAAGAAACTAACACAGTCCAAGCTCAAGCTTATCGAAACACCTCTTTAATGTGAAAAAATGACTGTGGATTCCCCCTACTTCAGGCAAACCAAGCAATCACCCAAAGCATTTGCATCCTGCACTCCTCCCCTTTCCCCTCTCCAGTTGCTCCCACAAACCTTTTAAAATCAGATGGATGCCCTTAGATGATGCTGCAGGATGGAAGTTACAGAAGGAGAGCATAACTTCAGCGAGGAGAGAATATTCAGCCCTAATCCTTGGCTGCTGTTTATTTAGTGAAGGGGTTCAGCCTCCTCTGCCAGCGGTTAAGTTGCAGCGTTACAATGCAAATGTACAGCTCCCAGCTCGTGTATAGGGCTCCACTGATAGCCCAGATCTAAGCCGCAACATGTTTTCTGGAAATACACGCAGCTCAGCTGAAAACCTAAGGGAGGTTTCCACTGTGGCACACAACTAAACTGCACAAATATTTAACAGCTCTGAGACCTCTAAAGGTTTAGAAGGATATACATTGTGTGCGAAGCTTCTAGGCAGAGAACTGCTGTGGTATGGAGTATTCTCAGAGGTTCCACTAAGGCACACACCGAGGAATTTTTTTCCCCCTTTCTGTCTCAGAACTAGGCAACCCCCCACCCAATGCTTAATGAAACACGGATATTGACTAAGCTTTCCCAGCATCGATCATATAGGAACTTTGCTTTACATTCCATTAAGTTAGCTCGTGACTTCCCAAGCCAAACCGTTTCTCCTTCATCACCCAGCTAAAATAGCCAACTTCATGCAGACAAATCACGGCAAAGTTTATGCTCCCCCATCCCTCCTTTGCTTTCCCAACTTAAACTCAGCCACCCGTAATGAAACGGCCCCAACTGGAGCACAAAGGAATCTCTGGAGGCTGAACCAGCTTGCTCCCCAGTTGCCAACTGGAGGTAGCTTTAATGGAACATCTCCCCGCCGCTTAGAGAGGTGGGGAAAGGCTTCTCTGCATTCACCCAAGAACTGGGTACCCCCTCCCCTCGCCCGCCCTTAATCCCCCGCCGCCCAGAAAGCACATCATCGGGGCTGAGCACTCACCAAAATACATTATGTTTCTCATTAATCAGACAGCTGGAACCCCACCGCGGCGTCTTCAGCATCAGCTCTCACCCCCGGCTGACACGCAGAGCAGAGCCGTTTCATGCTACAGTCGGCGGCGAGGTCCCCAGCGGTGGCGAGCGCCTCGCAGGCTGCCTTTCCCGGGCTAAGATTCCCGGCGGCTGGAGCGTGCGCTCGGGCCGCCCGCGGCACGGCCCATCCTTACTGTAATCCGACTCCTCCTTGCGATGTCCTTGCCGCGCCTGTGACATCAGGACTGCGAGTACTACAAACAGACCCCCCCCACCTCACCCCACCCCACCCCCGGTTCGCGGCGGCTCCGGGAGGTGCTCCGGCTGCCTGCCTGGACCAACCATGGCTCTCGGGAAGCTTCGACGAGCCCAGAGACCTGGGAGGGGGCGGAGAGAGGGGCGCGGGGGTTCTCTTAAAGAGAGCGGGGTCTCCCGCTGCACCCGAGCTCGGGGCGGGGGCAGGTGCCCGAGGGCGCCAGGGGAGCACTCCAGGCGAGTCCTGGCCTGGAGGTGTAATGAGATGCACTTGTCCCTCGCCCCTCCCGCGAGCGGCATCTTTCTCACCGAATTCTAGCTCCCAAGTTCAAACAACCACCGCCACCTACCACTAGCGCGCCTGCAATCTCCTTGCCCTGGGCTGGTGGGTTTGTGGCTGTTGTTGTTGTTGTTGTTGCTCTTTGTGATGTTTATAGCTAGCAAAACTAAAGAAACAGACTCTGGGGACCTATGCGAGGGCTAAAGAGGTTTTCACTCAGAGATGATCGGATCCCAGAAAGGCGGTAAGTAGTTCATGAAGTTATTTTTGTGTCTTGAGTATTTGCAGAGCACCGGGCTATGTTCAGGGGCTCACTCCTGGCGGGGAGCAGAGGATGATTTGCTGGTGATGATATGCAAAGTAAGTGCATTCACACCTGTAATATCTCCCCAACCCATGTAAAGGGGAACCCAAACAATTGCTGGTGACAAAAGTCACATCCCAGTTCTAAAGGATCACATTTGCTGCCTCTTCTAGGTGGTAGTTTCTATTGAGGTTGGACTGATCTTAACTTCTAAAAATTTGGCTTTCAAGGCACCTAAGACTTACTTTCATAATCAAGATTCAGTATAATATAGTCTCTCTCTCTCTCTCTCTCTCTCTCTCTCTCTCTCTCTCTCTCTGATGAACATTCAAGAAAGGCAAAGCTTAGTAAAGCCTCTGGCTCCTCCAATGGTCTAATGAATTGCAGTCCTTATCTTACATGGGAAAAGATATTAGAAAGAAATCCCTGAAAGCACTGTTGATTAATACTTAAATTCTCAGCGTGGAAAATTAACCCATAAACCCACGGTGTCAGTTTTCTAAGGACTCATCACATTAGACAACTTACCTACAGGACCATTTAAACTGAAACATAAAGTATCACGCAAAAATGTGTGATTTAATGTAGCCTATGAAAGGAAGCTATTGGTACGCTGTGTTGATGAGTTTTTATAAGCCATGCTTGCAAATATTTCTATAATTTGATATTAAAATATTCAATGGTCTTTACCTTACAAAATGATTTAATACATATTGGAATTAGAGGGCTGACACTTTATGAGAAGAGCACTATACCCAATATACCTTTTCACAATCAATTTAAAATGTCTTCATAATGTGAATAGATTTACCAAATGTAAATTAAACTATTACAATGATGTGATAAATCTGACAATATTCTCATAAAAATGCATCTTAGTACATTAAAGCAAGTTTTGAAGAAGACTGAGTTATTTAAGCTCCTTTTAAAAATTAAAATCAAGAATGTTGTAGGAAAACACTAGAGAAAATAGGGTAGTGTTTCTCCGTTTGGATGGATGGAAATGGTCCAAAAGTACAATTAATGGCCCTTTCCTCCGGCAAAAAACCCATCTGTGACCGCGCTTATTCATGCTGCCTGACTGCCGGCTTGGGCTAGGGGGCACTGTAGTTTAATGTAAGCATTTTTGGTCTTGTCGAGTTCAAAGATACAAGCACTGAGAATGGAGTTTAAAAAGAGATTTGAGGCACTAAAAGACAGTCTTTATAAAGTAATAACACCCTTTCATGTGCACAGAATTTTTGCAGTTACGAGATATTTTCACTTATGTCATCTTTCTTAAGTACTAACAATCTGAGATATAGACGGTGGGTATTTGTTCCTAATGGAAGAATCTGAGACTCCGGGTAGAAGATAGCAACTGCCACAACCAATAGACCAGTAAGAAAACATTGTGTGCCTGGGAGATGGGGAGATGGCTCAAAGGACTAGAGTGCAGAGCATGCTCATGACCTTGAGTGGGCTTCTGGGCACCACAGGGTCCCTGGAGTGTTAGGACACGTGATCCTCGATGACTCCCAGGACCAACAGGTGAGCATCTCCACATTGCCTCATCTGTAGGGTCCATTCAGTGTCCCAGAGCAGGATGCAGTTTCTCCGGGATCCCGTTTTCCTAGCATTGCTAGGGAGTCTACCCTTAAAATAATTTTTAAATTTCATTTTAGGCAGTATGACTTACAATACTGTTAATGGTCCGTTTCATGCATAAAACATTCCAGTAGCACGTTCTCTACTAGAGCGCTGACTTCCCTCCACCATCATTTCAGTATTATTCAGCTCACCCCGTTCTATTACAAAAAAAAATTGATTTAAAATTTTAAGAGCTGATTGTATTTTGGGCTGGAGCGATAGCACAGCGGGTAGGGCGCTTACCTTGCATACAGCCAACGCAGGAGGATACTGGTTCGATTCCTCCGCTCCTCTCTGAGAGCCAGGCAAGCTATGGAGAGTATAGCGCCTGCTCGGCAAAGCCTGGCAAGCTACCTATGGCATATTAGATATGCCAAACACAGTAACAACAAGTCTCACAATGGAGATGTTCCTGGGCCCGCTCAAGCAAATCAATGAACAACAGGAGGACAGTGCTATAAATGCTATACCATACAGTGATTGTATTTTATTTGTCTCTGGGGCCACACCTAGTTGTACTCAGGGTTTACTCTCTACCCTGTGCTCAGGAATCAGTCCTGGCAGTGCTTGGGATCAAACTGGAGTCAGACGTGCAAGGCAAGCACATAGTAGCCCTATCTGTAACTCCTTTACTAGTGCTCTAAATCTCCATACTATTATTTTAAAGTGTTTCCCCAACCTTTTTCTAATGAAGAGTTATTGGGAATATTGATACCTCACGTTCCCATTATGATGCTCATAATAGGGAAAACAACTGGTTTTTATTTTCATTTTATGATTTTTTATTGTTTCACCTAAAAGTACTTATTTGTATGTTTTATATTAGTAAGGATAAAATGCAACTCTTTTAATTTTAGCTAGAATAACATCCAAAGGAAAACACAGCTGATTTTAACAAGACAGGGGTTGTCTGTGTGCCAGCTGTGACTGAAGGATGTTCCTATATGTCATTTCAATAAACAACCCAGCAAATTCTATGGAGGGACTTCAGTCATACCCCTGACCTTAGGTCTCAGAAGGTCTGAGTAAAAGGGCTGCTTTGAAAGGGATTCAGTTCACTACTTCTCAGATAGAAATATATCTTTCACTATTAAACTAAGGAGTGTCCTCCAGTCAGTTACACTGTGGAGTTAAGCCATTAGGGTAAGATGGAAAATTTCGTCTGTGAAAATATCCATAGGGCTGCCTGGATCCCCCAGCTTCTTCAACTTCCTCTAAGGATTGTGACTGTAACCCTTCATAGTCTGCATTCTTATATTTTTAGACTGCAACTGTCACTCCTCTGGCATTTCAACCTCTCCTTTCCTCTCTTTGGTAGTTATTACTATCTCCACAGTTTAGTTAGCTCTCTAATCACTGGATGGGAAGCCTCATATGGGAAGGGAATTTTTTATGTTGTCCATCACTGTGTCCATAGATCTAAGAAAGGGATCGGGTACTACTTTGTTGCTACTCAATAAATATTTAGCAATGAATGAGGTAGCGTAGTGAGTACAACTAGACTGTGCGTAAGATAATCACACTTTTCTCTTTGCTACTAATTCCTCAAGGCTGATGGTGTCTTATGTGAAGTGTTTTATACAAAATGAATTTGCCCACACTTCACAGCAGCTATTCTACAATTCCACGTAAGACAAATGCCAGGTGTTACCACAGGCCACAATTTATAAGCTTGCTGATTCTTTAAGTTCTAATAACTCTATGCAGCAATAATATGGCATCGGGTGAGCACAATTCAATTGATTCTTAGATTGTTTACTCATTTTTTTTTCTTTTTGGGTCACACCTGGCAATGCACAGGGGTTACTCCTGGCTCATGCGTTCAGGAATTACTCCTGGCAGTGCTCAAGAGACTATAAGGGGTGCTGGGAATTGAACCTGGGTTGGCCGTGTACAAGACAAATGCCCTACTCACTGTGCTATCATTCCAGCCCCTACATTATTTACTCTTGAGACTAAGTTTCATGCACTTTCATCTTTTATCTATATTTCATAACATAATAAAATAGCTAAAATTTTGAATTCCCATGTAAATTCCCATGTATATAGATGCATAAGCATATTGCATAAATTCATAGCATACCACACAAGCCTACTCGAATTGGAGTCGAGCATCTTCCACCCAGATCCTCCAAATTCCAGTAGGCGGGGGTCACACCCACCACCTGGCCCCCTGGCGCCGTGTAATCCCATCAGCGGCCAAGACTCAGAGACTATAAAATCCAGATCCCGGACGAGAACAGTGCAGTCTCTGCCCCCGCGCCTGGGTGTTCCTTCCCGGAGTCCCTTGGAGGGGAGCGGGTCGAGCTTTCCTCCCCGCCCCGGCCAGGGCTACGGCAGCCGGAGACCTCCAGGACCAGCCACCACCATGCTGAGACCACTCTCCGCACACCTGAAGGTACTGGCAGAGGGACAAAGCCACGCGGGTTCCGGGGCCGAGACCTCCAAGCCTACTCGAATTGGAGTCGAGCATCTTCCACCCAGATCCTCCAAATTCCAGTAGGCGGGGGTCACACCCACCACCTGGCCCCCTGGCGCCGTGTAATCCCATCAGCGGCCAAGACTCAGAGACTAAAAAATCCAGATCCCGGAACCGCGCGGCCGCGAATGCAACATCTTATTATCTCATTCCTACTTTGGACAAACTTGCAGGCTATCGAATGTAGCCTGCCCACAGGGCAGAGTCTGGCAAACTCCCCGTGGCCTACCAAATATGCCAAATACCAGTAACAATGATGGGTCTCATTCTCCTAAAGAGCCGTGAATATAATCTCAGGGTT